TTAGGTGACTATAAGGAAAGCAACTAAATTAATAGAGTTCAGGGTGAGAGTTGTCTGTGGGTGGGTTCTTAAGTAAAGTACTATTATAAGATGAGACAAAGTTGTGTAACTTGGTCTCAAATTACCGTAACTGATTCAATACATCTTCCCTGTACAATATTAAAACAAAGTAGTGACTGGAAGCTAAGCCATAGGGGCCCTAATCAAGCTAGCTCATCTGGCAGTTAGTAGAGTACCAAGGCAGGCAAACAGTCTCCATAGACGTAATTGAAAGAGCAGCCTTCTCACGTGGGGCAGGCTGATAGTCACATGGATTTTGACAGTTTCCTGGACTGATACCAACATCTGGGAATCCTGAGTCCAAAAACACCAGAGCTCTCGGATTAGAAAGGAATTAAGATGTCTGTAAAAGAAAATGTACTGAATCTGCTGGTTGTTTTCTTTTTGCTAATTTTAAATATATAAGTAATATATAAATGCAAAAAATACATATATTACAAAAAATGTTTAACATTACAATTAAGATTAAAGTATCTGTTGGCCAAGATCTCCAAATCTAATACCTTCTTTGGAGGTAAGCACCATTGTCAGTATGAAGTAGATTCCTCCAATTCTTTCTCTGTTAAATCACATGCATCTATATATCACTAGAAAATATATTTTATGTTGCTCTTTTTAAAATATTTAGAAGGAGTATACATATAGTTTTGCAACGCGTTAGTCATCTAAGAATATTTTGCTGACGTTTCCATGTCAATAAGTAGATTCATTGACTGCTTATGTAACAGTCACTCTTCCAAGCACTTGTATATCTATTAATGCATTTAGTCCTCACAGCAGTGAATTATTGGTGCTATATTACTATCATATCCATTTTGCAGTTGAGGATTTTGAGGGACAGAGAAGTAGGGAAATTGCCCAATTTAGTGGCAGAGCCACTGTTCTGGATTCTATTCGAGGAAGACTGATTCTAGATCACTGTCATGGAACTATTTTACACCACCTCTCTGAGATACATAAACCTACCTCTGAGTGCAGTACATACCAACCCAAAACCCATGGGCCCATCTTTCATGGGCCCAGATACTGTTCAAGTTTTATAAGGCCGCCAAGTGTGTCATGATGCTCAGCATTGTAGTTGATAACAGCATTAGTGTGATAGTTGAGGTAGGACTGTTTTTGAGAAGAATAAAGCTCTAAGAATGCAGAGGGGCCCCCCCTCATCATGCTGCTCCATTCCCCTCCTTCCCTTGCTCTCTATATCTGATCTGTGGGCAGCATTCCACTTACGTCAAAAATAACGTCAATATAGTGAAAAAACTGAATGACTCACAGCATTACTATAGGGAACTGGTTGCTGTGTAATATGATATATAACATTCTAATTTCACAGAACATTTTTCATAACATCTGCTAAAATCATAATCGAATCCATTAAATTTTTTTAAAGGATGCAATTCGAAGCAATAATAAACTAGTCTTAAAATGCAGGTATATTGCGATGGAGTCCCACCAACGCAAAACTGCTCCATCCTTTACTACTTCATATCTTCTCTGTGTCTGCCTGTCTGTATTTATTAATCCACTTGAGTCTGTTCATCTTTTGAATTGCTAGCTGCATTTGAGTCAGAGGTAGGCTTTTTTTTTTTTTTCCCAGAGACTGGAGGGTCTGAGAAAAAGAAGAGAGAAGGAATAGAGATGAAAAAGAAATTTGATTCTCTGATTCTTATGGAAAACAGAATGTGATGGCCTGGAGAGAAAGGGTAGAGGAAGGACCCAGGGTCTTGGGTTTTTAAAAGCAGTGTTATATTATTGATTAAGGTATCTGCAGAGAGTGAATGACAGTGAGAGAACGCTACCACCTAGGTCCTTGCATTCAGTAGCACAGAACTTAGCAACATGGAGCCAGTTGGATTTCTTCTGCTGCATTGCCATCCTCAAAGCTGACAGCTAATTTTTTGATGTAGGAATTTTATTCCATGGATAACTATAAAACCAAGTAAAATACCTCAGGTTTTTTTTCTTTCTTCAATACTGTATACTAACGGAAATTTGCAAAGTTAGTACCTGACCTGTATTTTTGTTTGGAACATAAAGTAAGACTAAACAAAGATTCAACAAAGGCAAAAGATTACTTGCGAAATTTATTTTCAGACTTGAGAGTGACCTTCCAGAAAAACGATAGGCTTTGTTTTGTTTTTTAAGGTTTTATGTATTATTTATTTTAGAGAGAGAGGAAGAGAGCAAGTAGGGAGAGGAGCAGAGAGAGGGAGAAACAGACTCCATGCTGAGCACAGAGCCTGACTCCGGGCTGGATCCCAGGACCCCGAGATCAGGACCTGAGCCGAAATCAAGAGGCAGATGCTTAATGGACTGAGCCAGCCAGGCGCCCCAGGATGATAGGCTTCTGAGGACTGAGCTCTATCCCATCTCATCCATAGATTAACGGTGTGATGCAGTTAGTAAACAAGTTAGTAATCTTGAAGCCTTGGCTTTCCTATCTGGAAAAGAAGGCTGGACTAGAATCCTTAAGGTTCTTTTGAGTTGTAATACTCTAATTCTTACACAACATGATAGAGAAAGATAGCTTCTAGTTACCCAGCTACAAAAGTCCTATACACATTTTCCTTCTATTCCACACACCTCCTCTAACACTGCTAAAGGGGGATGTTGCCTGTGGTGTATTTAGTAGTTGATTCCTCTGGACCTCTTTCCTTTCAACTTCCTTCCATTGAAGTGAAAGCTCCCTGCTCTATTCCATTTTTCTGATTCTTTAAAAACAGGTATTCTCAGGGTGGAATATAAATTGCTGATTTGTAATTCATGAATCACTGCCATAGAGGGACCCCGAGAACTTTGTTTTCAGGGCCTCAAAAATTGTTAATTGTATGCGGTGTGTTGTTGGCCACTTGGATCATGGACTTAAGGCACTAATCTTCTAGATACCTTCATCTTCAATAGATGTAATTCTGTATGTGTGCTCCAGCAGTTTGTACCTACTCAGTGCTAGCTGATATTAAAGCAGATGTTCTAGATTGCTCTTTGGAGGTTGTTTGATATGAGTACCAGGCAAATTACTGACCAGTCATGGAGCCAGAAGTCCCAGAAGAAATTCTCTATACTCTAAACCTTGCCGATAAGTAGTTCTCATGTTCCCTCACTTTATTATTTGTTCAGTACCTACTGATGGAGTAGCTACTGCAGTCCTGGATATCGGGTGCTCTTGGTGGGTCCTCCAGGGCCAGGATTCTATTGAAAAAGGAGCCATGTAGAACAGGCTATCTCCTTGAGTCTTCTGTCACCAAGTAACCAAAGCTGTTACAAACAGACCAAATAAGAAACCGTCTGAGAAATAGGTTTTTTTTATAGTTTTCAAAATGTCTTCCTTCTTATGCTTTCTTAATACATATGTGAAAGATTAATAATAATATTTCCCATGTAGCCAATTGGAGAAATGAACTTGCTAGATTAGCCACATTTTATGTGATTTTACAAACAAAAACACTGAACATTAAAATCTTTTTCTAGTAACTTGTTCAACCCTCGCTAAATTTGGAGGGCACAGACTCGTAGCCTGGGAGTCAAAAAAAGAAAAATCATGGCAGTTCATCAACTAGCTGTGCAGATGACGGCACATTACTCAGGTTCTCTGGACTTCAGGAGAGGATAAAACATACTTGGCTGCTCTGTTGCGTGGGGCTGTTTTAAGGAATACCTGAGATGGTGTGTGTGACCGACCATGCTTTCTGTTATAGAAAATACAGTCCAAAACCCAAGATAGATAAGCTGTGAAACGGGCTTGTATGACAGTATATCTAATTATATTATTGCTTTCATCTGTGTGGTGTTCCCACATTTTATATGTAAACAAGAGCTTGTAAGGTTGATTATCTCCCAATTATCACAACTAATGAACTCTTAATCGGCAGCTGCAAGTTTAGATTTTATTGAAAGGGAGAAATTAAAGTGATCAAGGAGATTATTTTTTCTCCTTTGACATGTAAACAATAAAGAGACTACTAATTAGAAAATATTTAGCTGTCCTTTATATATACCTGAATAGTCTGGCTTTTCTGAATATTCACTTTTCTTTCAAATACAGGAAAAGAAGAGTCAGAACATTCTGTAAATATTGTCATTCAGTGGATGTATCTCCTAGGGAAAATATATTTAATATAACTGTTAGAACCATATGCCAAATGCAAGGTTCCATAGGTAAGAGAGGCACAACCTGAGATGCTTCCTTGTTTTGGTCTTATAATATATTTAGAGCACACCTTCATAATAACACGATGAAAAGGAATTTCCTGAAGTAATGCTACTGTAAGAAATTGTTTTATTCCATTAATATCAGTACATATTAATTTTCTGCAACTCCGTTATAGGCTTTGCTTTTAATAATTTAAATCCAGAAGCACTTAATTATTAATTCTGAAGCCATATGAACATTATGGCTTCATTTAATGACTGCCACTCTAAAAAGATAAAATATGATTGATGCTCAAGCTACATTATTTCTAAGAAGCAGTAGCATTCCAGATAAATTCAGCCAGAGAACAACTTCTCCTCAGCCAACACCTTCACAGAGCTATGGGTAACCTTTACTTCTCCCCTTTGGAATGGTGACTTGGAGTTCTGACTTGGTCTCTTGGGGGCAAGATTAAAGGTGGTAAGAGGCAGACCACAAGGACCACGTTGGCTCTTTGGATGTTACATTTTCTTGTTGCCCTGGTCACCTTTGGTTGGTTGGTTTCTGGCCACCTTTGGTTGCCCTGGTCACCTTTGGTTGGTTGGATTCTTTTATAAGGCTTTGTACATTTCTCCTAAATCTCACTGATTTGTTTCTGGCGGCATATCAGACAAGCTGGCATGATTGTCACCTATTTTTTGCCTGGTATTTTTGATAACCTTGAGATCGTTGTTATCAGTGTCTGTGGTCTCTTTGTTCATCCTTTCCAAAGGTTTCTCTTGCTGATTATTTTGCATGATTCTTTTCTTAGACTTGAATGAGGCAGTCCCAGAGACAGAGCGCCTGGATTCAAAAGCACTAAAAACCCGAGCCCAGCTCTCCGTGAAGAACAGACGCCAGAGGCCCTCTAGGACAAGACTCTATGATAGTGTCAGTTCAACAGATGGGGAAGACAGTCTGGAGCGAAAGGTGAGCACCGTTGACTGGTTTCTGACTTGCAGTGTTGAGCTGTATCCTTGTTCCCACAGCTTATTGAAGATGATTTTTCTGCAACCAGATTCCGTGTAAACAGCTGGAATAGTTCACTGCTTTGTCTCCTAAATTCTTACTCAACTCGATATATTGTTGTAATTCAAATTATTTCTGTATCATCCAATGAACTAACCCAAAAGCATTATGAAATATTGTCATATTTCACGATGGTGCTTTTATGTTCAGGTATTGGTTTTACCTAGTGGGAAATAATGAATGTACAAGGAATTGTTTCTGTGTCTTAGGTGTCTGTGTTAGCTACAATGGTAATATGGTGAATTGTTGTAAACTATGCAGTCTCATCTGTAAACCAACAAAAAAAAATTGGTTTTTGAGGGATTTACTAAAATAAGTTCGGTCTGATTTCAAAGTACTCCATGGAGCTGGTGCATAACCTCCTTTATAATCTCTTATACCAACAGCCTTCAAACAGTTTCTATAACCACACGCACATTACCAAATCACTTCTGCCCAAGGGTTTGAGAACTTCTCCAGAATCAGATTCTGGTGCTCCATCCCTCACTCCGGCGGCTGGCAGTGTGCCCTTCTCCTCTGACCACATAGCTGAATTTCAAGACGGACCACTGCACCCGGAAAAGGAGCCCTCCCCCTTTCTTTGGGGAGACACTTCACACTCCTCTCCTTCAAAATCTGATCATGATATAGAAGAATCTCCTTGCCACCATCAAGCCACCACCAAGAAAATACTACAGGAAAAAGGTACTCTTTATTTTTCTTGTTGTTTTTGCTTTTGTTTTGTCTGACTTCACTAACTCCTTGATTTGTGCAATACAGAATAGCTTTTTTTGTCATAGTCATAAGTCCTTTGTCTTAATAATTAATATTGCTTTCTTTTTATGTTGTGGGATAAGAGCCCATGCCTCTCCCATTCATTCATTCATTCATTCATTCATTCATTCATGTATTTATCTATCTTTTCCTACCAGGTTAGTATTTTTACTTCTTCAGTTCTCCACAAGTTTACTACTATTAAGGAAATGCTTCAGGAGGTCTACTAGAGGGTTTGTAGAATAGAAACCCAGAGTTTCAATAAACACTAACATGCTCACATTGGAAAAATAAAATGTGTATAATATATATGTAAAAATATATAGGTATATAATAGCTATAAATATATAGAAGATATGTAAATATCTTCATGTATATATGAAGATGAAAGCAATACAGGTTTTTAGCCATTAATTGGTTTTTCTTTAGAAGAAATTTTTACAGTAATGATTCATATTGCAAAAATTGTGACAGGAGAGCTATGATAAAGATAATGCAGGGAGATTAATCAATTAAATTTTAAAATAGGTTCCTTGAATTAACACCAGAATTTCATAGGGATGTCAATAGATTTCTGTCATTTTAATTTATAGAAGTAATAAATTCTCATTAGACAAGTTAAATGATACAGAGAGGTATAAAGATTAGGTTCATTCTTTTCCTACCATGTCTGATGTGTCCCTTTAGAGTAACCAAGTAAATTTGAGTACGTTATCTTTCACATGTTAAATGCACATAAGTCATGCACATGCGTGTGTTTGTGTATGTGTGTGTGCATATAGGTGTAAAAACAAAAATACTTTCTGGTATATTTGTGTTTTGTGTAATTTTTTTTTACAAAAATGAATCATGTAAGTCACATGACTCTACGTTTTGTTTTATACATAATAATATTTTATGGACATCCCTCTACAGCAATATACACAAATTTAAATGACAAGAGAATCTTCTGTAGTGAGGCTATAATATAACTGAGGCAACTCTTCTAATATTGATGGACATTTGGGCTGTATTCTGGAAGGTTTCTTTTTGTAGTTCTGCCTGTTTGCATATCACTTTGAAAAAAATTGTAACAAACATCTGTATATTCTTATACTGACACTTATTTTTGTAGGAACATTTTCAAAAGCTGAATTGATAGAGTATATTGTACTCAAGAGAAAAATGTATAGCTTTAAGTTCTTTTATTACTAAAAATAAAGGTTGAAAATAAGTAAAATAAATATTTTAAATAATGGGAACAGAACAACCAAAAAGCAGAAAATAGAAAGGAGTGTATAAAACATATATGCTGAATTTAATTTCTATTGAAATGAAAGGCCTATTCTTAATTGCCCTCTCCTCCCAAAAATATAGTAAAATTGTGTGAATTATTCCAGCTAATAATTCATACGATTATTGTTTGTGTGAATTATGATAACAGTTGTTTGCATGAGTCCGTTGGAAGGACACATTAAGAAAAAAAATAGAGAAAAAGACAAAAAAATGTAGCACTGGAAATAAGAGATGGATTAAAAGAATTAATTTTTTAAAGATTGTGAACTCAGTAGATTTAAAAATCTAGTGGAAATGGAGTTTCCTACAAAATTAGTCTATTCAAATTATCTATGAAGATAACTTGGATAAACCAATAATCACAGAAATGTGAAATGTGTTTTTATAAAAACTTCCATTTAGAAAGTCACCAAAGCCAGGTGGTTTTATAACTGAATTCTCCCTAACCTATAAAAAAAAAATAGATAGGCTCTGTTTTATGATAGCTATTCGAGGTAGGGTGTTTCTCATTTATTTAAGTAGCAAGAGTCCTAAAAACACAGTAAAGGCTGTGTGGAAAAAAGAAATCTTATGCATGTAGATTCATCTTAAATATGATGCTAATCAATTGAATCCAAGAGTGCAAGTTAATTATATTCCATAATCAGGTAGCATTGATTCTGAAAATACAAGAATAGTTCAACATTAGAAAATCTAACAATATAAATCATCATATCAACAAAGGAAAGGTAAAGTGTTATAATACTAATGGAAGTCGAGAGGCATTTGATATAATCCTTCAGACATTTTTAGTAAAACCTTATTAAAATAAAAATGGAATTAGAAAATTTTTTCTGAATATGATTGGTTACTTAAAAGCAATCAACCACTAAATAGTGAATCTTAAGCCATTTGCACAAAAATTAGGACTAAGACATGAATGCCAACTATCATCACGATTTTCAAGTCTGTTTTTGAGAATTTTCTAATTGCAGGAAGATAAGAACATCAAATAATCAGTGCAAATTTGAAACAGAAAAGACAAAATATCTTTATTTAAGGATTATGTGAATATTCATCTAGAAGATTAAGTGGCCAGATATAAAATAAATATATAAAATCAATATCTTGACATGTGTAAGGGTGAAATGTCTGCAACTTACTTTGAAATGCATTTGAAAATTAATGGGTTAATGGATGACTAGAGGGATGGCTATGTGATAAGGCAAATGTAGTAAAATGGAAATTGTAGGATATAGGTAATGGATATACATTTGTTCACTGTAAAAATTTTTTGTCTTTTGAAAAAAAAACAGTGGCAGAAAGAAATGTCGTTGGTCTGTACTGATCGAAAGATTTGATACAACAGATATTTTGTGAACTTAATGAGCTGATCCTAAAATTGTAAGAAAGGGAAAAAGGCCAGGAATACCCAAGAATCTTAAAGAAGAATAAAGTAGAAGATCCTGATACCTGGAATTATTAAAAAGCCACAGAATTAATTCTGTATATTATTTGCACAGAGGTTTAGAGATTCAGGAATAAAATAAAGATCATGAAAGCAGATTATACACATTTCATATACTATGACAGCTGGATCAGTGGACAAAGAATAGTGTTTTTAACTGTTCTAGGACAACTGGTTATACCAACTTTAAAAATTTATATTAGACCCTCCCCATCTCATACATTGTAAAACAATCCATTCAAGGTGGATTTAAGACTTAACTGGAAAATGCAAACTATAAAACTTTTAAAAGACTGTATACTATATTTTTTTTTACTTCAAGGTAGGGAAGGATTCCTTAAAAAAGACACAAGAAAAAAAAAAAAAACATGAAGAAATCTAACATCAGATTTCTCAAACACACAACAAAGAGTCCCACAAAATAGAAGCCATTTACTACCTGTGTAAGTAATGTAGCGTTAGCATCTACATTATGTAAATAGCTTGTATAAATTACTTAGAAAAGACAAATAATATGATAGCTAATATATAATGTCCTGAACAGGTACTTCATAGACAATGAAAGCCAAAAGGCCAAAATATTTATGAAAGGTGTTCCACTGCATAAGTAATCAGGAAAGTATGAGGTAAACCAGATGAAATACCCACCTAACTTAACCAGGTAGTCTGATGTTACCAAATGCTGGAAGCTATGTGATACACCCAGAGACTGAAGAATTTTCATTGTGCTGGTGGAAGTTTAAATTGGGGCAAGCTCTTTGGAAACAATTTGGCATTGAGTTAGTGAAGTTGAAAGTGTGCATGCCCTATGGCCCAGGCAGGTCAATTGCCTACTAAGAATCTTGTACAAGGGTATTCATTGAAGCCCTACTGTGTGATAAAAAAAAAAACTGGGAAAACCTAAAAACTGCTGATTACTAGAATAATCACTAGTAGAATGGTTAAATCAATCGTATTATATTCATATGATGAATCCCTGCAGCACGAAATGAATAAATCATACTGAAAGATGACAACAGGGGTGAATCTCTGGAGTAAGCATTAAGAGGATAAACCAAATTGCAGAAGAATACCCATGATTCTATTTAGATAGTGCTAAAAAAAATTAGTAAATTTCTTAAAGATACAAACAAAATGTTGAGGTTGTAAGTGGGAATGACAAAAGTCAGTTACTTGGTGGGGAGTGTCCAGGAACTGAAATGGGGAAGGACATACTGGGGACTTCGTAAGTATAAACTGTGGTGAGGGTTGGGGAGATAAATGAAATGGGTGTTTGTTTTATAGGATTTTCTTTATACTCTACAACTATCTGATAAATACTCTTGGTTACAGTAGTCAGTAAGCATATTGAAGGACCCCATACAGAAAGTTAAATGATAGACTTTAATATACAAGTAGCTTCAAAGAATTTTTAAAAAGTCCAAAATTGGCAAAGAAAATAAACCATTGGTTCACTGAAGAGAAAATTCACATTACTTATAGGAAAAGATGATCCACCTCACCAAAGATCAGAGAAATGATCATTTAAATCAGATACCCACTAGATTGCCAAAACTTTTAAACAATTCCAACTAGTGCCAGCAGTGGTGTGGGATACACTCATACGTTGCAAGTGTGATTGTACATGACTGTATTTTTTAAAAGTGCATACTCATCTGTCTCTACCAGATCAAAAATTATAATCTTTCTAAAAATACATTGTGAACTAGAAATACATTTGTTTGGGGGGTCAATCTTTTTAACTCTTGATAAGCACCATTGCTTTATTTCTGATCTTTTCCCTTTGGTTTCCTTTCCTGAGCCTATTGATTGCTGGAATTATCTTCCACAGACTGGTTCTAAAAACAGCTGTTCTAGAAGCTTGGGAGTAAAAATTAGGTACTTAGAAAGTTTAAAAAAAATACTAGTAGGAGCAAAAGAAAATATGTCAAGCCTGCTAACTCATCAAAGATAGTTCTCAAGTTGGTGGAGGACTTGGCATGATGATTTTTGCCTGCTTTCAAACTCTCATTTATTAACCCAAACTATGGATTTTAATAACACTTTCATAGAAATACACTTGTGGCAATCCCTCTATAATCTCTGTAGACCTTAATTGGTCCATAAGGAGACAAAACAACAGACTCATGTATTTTGGAACTGTGGGTTAATATTTTCTGGTCTACTGTTTGAGTTTATCAGGCATAACTAGCTATCTGAGAGAAATTAC